AACAAAAATATACATAATACTATTATATATTTACAATAAATAATAACAACTTATTCCTACTGACTATTCGGTGCACAATGATATTCATAATATTGTGTGTGCACCCATTTCATTGCAAGTTTAATACTATTTGAGGTAGGTTACCCATTTCAAAATGAGTTACCTATATACAGGGTGTCCGTTTTAAGTGATACCACTATTGCTATCTCAGAAACGGTAAGAGATACGAGGTCGGTTAAATTAGAAAAAAGTTGCCTTTTTTGATGCCCATTCAAGACTCGTTTACAGTGTTGCCGAATTCCTTTTAGTTTAGGAAATACAGGGTGATTTCTAAGAAACGCCTAAAACTATTTCATCAATTATTTTGAAAACTATTGATTTTTGGGACACAATTTAAATTCGAAAGTTTTATAATTTTTATCGCTTTACAACATGGCATCTTCAAATTTCAAATCCGACGTTTCGTAATCGAGCCACCATCATCAACTTCATTTTTTTAAATACGAACCTGGATTTTTTGTCATTTTTAGGAAGCTCCCTTTATTACCTTTTTAACGATATACCTCTTCAGTATGATTGGCCGACGTTTCTGCTTTTAAAGGTGATCATCAGTGATTTTTACCAAAATTTTACCTTAATTCGGCCCTGCAATTCGTTATTTGTAACAAAGGCGGTCTAACAAGTACTCTTTTCCTTTTATTTAGAACACTTAGAATTATTCAATTATGAACAATATCGAAAATAATGACTTAGAAACTAATTATTATTGTAAATATGTCCTCAAATTGAAGTCCATTATTCCTTAAGCATCATCTGCAATTTTTCACAATTTTTTTTTTGAATATTATTTAATATGTATTGTTTTTCATGCAACCGTCCGCGAAATTGAATTTCGCGGCCGCCACACCTTACGTGGTGTGTATACCATGACCGCGAAACTTTGCAGCATTCTCGAGACTATCTTGCCTCGGCAGCAAGCAACCAAGGTTCAAGGCATTTCGCGGCCTTGGTATACAAATACAGATCGTTTCACCATGGTTCATACTTGACCTTGAAACTTGAAAAAAAGGGTTGTTGTGGATTAATTATTCATATTATGACACATTCAATTTTTTTGACAAATTATGAATGACTTCTGGTTTAACCGACGAACGTTTTTGACGTCATTGATTTCTTTCAGTCAATTTCTATTTGTTAAAAAAAAGGCAAATTATGTCAAAAGTATGAACCCTGGTGAAACAAAGTTTACATAACTATTATTTATTCTAGTACGTGGAGCCCTTATCCTCTCTTTGAATTCTTCTAATGTCTCTGGTATTTTCGTAAACTCCATAATGAAAAATCACTGTACTCTTATTCATTTAACAATTATTATAAAATGAATAAATAATAAAGAAATGTTTGACATGTTGCATAGCTGTCAATCTAATTTTTTTCAAGACATTCTTTGATGAAATTTATTAATATTCCATATCACTGATGCCAACCTGAATTTGTGAAATTATAATAATATGTATGTACGTAATTAGTTTTTAAGTAATTATTTTAATTATTGTTCACAATTAGATAATTTTAAGTGTTCATTCAAAATTATTTTGTTAATTTTGTTCTAAATAATAAAGGAAAATAGTACTTGTTAGATCGTCTTTGTTATAAATGACGAATTCCAGGGCCTAATCAAGGTAAAATTATGGTAAAAATCACTAATGATCACTTTTTCGAGCAGAAACGTCAGCCAATCATACTTAAGAGGTATATCGTTGAAAGAAAAATAAAGTGCGCTTTCCAAAAATGTCATAAAAAATCCAGGTCCGTATTTGAAAAAATGAAGTTGATGATGGTAGCTTGATCACGAAACGTCGAATTTGAAATTTGAAGATGCCATGTTGTAAAGCGATAAAAATTAGGCCTTTTCGCACAGCAATCACAAACCAGTCAGACTGAATTTCATTGGTTGAAACTAGTTTTCTGACTGTTTTCAACCAATGAAATTCGTTCTGACTGGTTTGTGATTGCTGTACAAACAGGCCTATTATAAAACTTTCAAATTTAAATTGTGTCCCAAAAATCAATAGTTTTCAAAATAATTGATGAAATAGTTTTAGGCGTTTCTTAGAAATCACCCTGTATTTCCTAAACTAGAAGGAATTCGGCAACACTGTAAACGAGTCTTGAATGGGCATCAAAAAAGGCAACTTTTTTCTAATTTAACCGACCTCGCAATAGTGGTATCACTTAAAACGGACACCCTGTATATAATATGTATCTAGGTCTAACAAAAATTAACAAAAATGAGCAGTTTGTTCACTGATTATGTTCAGCATGAGGAATGCATGTTCTAGAAGGAAAAAAACAGACAAACAAGAAAAACCACAACCGAGAGCACTGAAGTTTAAACCAAAAGGCTGTCTAGATTAAATAATTAATCTTATAGTTATTTACAAGTATCCATTTCATCCATAATTTCGGATTTGGCTGTGAAATAGTTTTGCGTTTTAAATTTACCTGGTAGGTCATTAAATATTTTATTTACGACTAATGTATAATGTGCGTATTATATTTGTGATTTTGGCAGTATAATGACATATGTTATTCCTCCAGGGATTAATGACGAGTAGCGGGATTAATGGTCATTATTCCACGAAAGTGTCAGTGTCAAACGTGTAGTGCTTGTGGATTTGTATTGAAAATTATGAGACGGATGAAATTTGTTCATTGAAAATCTCAAATAAATTAATTTGTCGTAAATAAAGTAGAGTATACTACTCGCAATAATGGCTATTATTCCCTCGGAATGTTACTCCCTCGCCGCTAACGCGGGTCAGTTCGTAATAATCCTCGGGAATAATAGCTATCATTATTGACTTGTGGTATAATCTACTATTATGTCATACCAATACATTATTGTGTTTTTATACCTTAGATACCATCTACGTAATTCATTACTTTATGCCCGTGCGGGCATAAAGTACACATTATGGCCCGCGCGGGCATAAAGACGCAAAAAACTGTTTTCAATTAACTTATTCTTTATTAACAAAATATAAATTTACGCTTATAAACATATTATTTTTGTCAAAAAATTATGATGTTTGCACACTGATGACAATTTGCGAAGTGACACTTTTTTCCTAGGTAATTATTATTCACAACCAACTGGTATTACATAAAAGTTTGTATGCACCACGGGTACTAATAGATATGTATACCCTCGGGCGACTTACAAACCCTCGGGCCAGAGGCCCTTGGCTTTGTAAGACTATCGCCCTCAGGGCATAATCATCTACTTAGTACCCTTGATACATAAATAACTATTAGGCCCTACACAATATATGTGATTCTGACAACATGCATGTTTAGGGTTCTGTAATTCCACATTTCCATGACCCACACCTCTAGTATTCACTCCATGTGCTAAATCTACTCTAAAGTAATTGTTTTTCAGCATAAATCTAATTACTGATTTTATGTATAGCTGTTCAAGATTGAGAACACCGCTGTCATTAAATACCAAATTTGTGGGATACCTCCTTTTTTTAAAAAGAATAATTTTTAAAATCCATTTTTCTGCAACAATTTTGATAGAATTGATACACCAGCATTTCCCCAAACCACTATCCCGTAATTCAAAATTGATTCAACAAGAGAGTAATAAATCATTTTAAGTGTTGTAAAGTCAAGGATGTTCCTTAATTCATAAAATTTGTAGATTAGCTTTCTTATTTTCTTGGTAACATAATGTACATGTTCCTTCCAATTTAAATTTTCATCCAGAATCACCCCTAAGTAGAATAATGAAGGTGTTCTAACAATAAATTTGTTACAGCTGCAGTGCAGTTCAAAAACGCACTGCGTTTCATGCATTTTAAGTTGTTGGAAATCAGGGAATGTATGCGTAGAAAGAGAGGTCATAAATTTAGTTTACATTACATGTATTCTTTCGATCTGAACAAACTGATCGAACTCATTTGAGGTTTGTTTCAAATAATTGTTATTCGGTTTTACAAGGATTACATTGGCCCTAACTGTTTTTTTTGACGCCTCATGAACAAACCTTATGTGATGACAATCAGTTTGTTCAGATCGAAAGAATACCAGGATTAAAGATGGGGACTGCTATGAGAGTTTCTGTATGTCTGAATTTAATGAAGATTGAATGGGATAGCTATAGTGTTATACATGCTTTATAAATAATGTCAGTTAATGTAAAAATGTTGTAACGTGTTTTAAGACTATCAAACTGTTCTTGTCTTGTGTTTGAATTATTGGATATTGTATTAATTTAAAGTAGGTATTAATTATAAGACATTCCTTTTTGCCTTGTCAATGAAATTGTGAAATTTTTGGGCAATAAAGCTTATTTGAAATTGAAATGTTCCTGTAAGACAAATAAGACACTAATACGTATCTATTTTGTGTAGATTTCAACAGAATAGATTTTGTTTTGAACTCTCCTCTAAGTAGAAGTATTTCACTGATAAATCAGAATAATTTGGAAATTACTGGAATAACTAAAAGTAGGTTTATTAAGTTATGAGAATGGTTGCTTCGAGGGTTGTGTAGGGGTTAAAATTGTCACATTTTTAAATTTCTTCAACTTTGGAAATATGAAATTAATTCGTCTTAGGTATTAATAATTATAGCTGATCACATAGTATATTTTGTAACATTGCATTTAATGGGAGTATCGGTAATCCTGTCACTAAATAAATAAATAAATAAATAAATTATTATTATATTTAGGTAAAGTAGTTACGTAAATTTCTACCTTAACTTTATGTCGCTGTGTTTACTGAGTAGGTGATAATCAAGTTGAAAATCAAATTTACCAATACAGCCAAATTTTTTTCTCTAATGTACGTATGTGAATAATGAACAAACCACCAAACAAAGACTGTCATCATTTCCAGACAAAAACACTTTATACAATATGATTATAAATGTTATTGATTTTCCTTACAACGAAGGACACAGAAAACATTTATTATTATTAAACCTACCTGTCAATACAATGTCCTTCTCCTTCTACCAACGACTCATTCCTCTTGGGTCTCCTGATCACAGTGCAATTTTTACTTTGATTCCCCTTGAAAAAATTTCCAATATCATCCGAAGAGGAGACTTCTTTGTTTACAGACAGATTTTGTTGTCTGGCCGTTCCGCATCTGATACATTTGGTTTTCTCGGTGGGATTGATCAAGCTACAATTCGAACAATGCCATTGCAGCACCGATGCAATAGCGCCCATCGTATTTTGCACATGGCTAATAAACCCATTTAAAAATAAAAACGAAACTATGTCAGGAGACTCGCTCTGGCACCCGAAACAGCTGATAAATTCGAATTATTTTCGAAAACAAGTCGACCGTCGACCGTCGTTTTTTCTTTATTATTTTTGTATGGATTTTCTTGGCCTGTTGGAACATTGGATACTTGCGCACCAGCTCAACCAGCTGATTGGACATTTAAATTTTATACTGGGAAGTTTTATCATAGATGGCGAGCGGAAATTTTCAGGGTTGCCACTTATCGGTGATATGAGATATATTACACTGTGATATTACTTAGTTGAGCCAAAGATGGTGTTGATAAGTATGAGCCACTCGAATAATCAAAGAAAATATAACACAAAATTAAAACAGAAATCAACTTTATTTAGGAATAATTTATCTAAAGATTATAATGAACAATACAACGACTAAACTCTAGAATAATAAGCATCAATCAACGATCAAACTTTGTTAGAACTAGAAAATATTAAATGGCGATGAGCTCATTAACAATTAAAAACTAATAATAACTTGTCAAAAACTTTATTCATCTTGTGGTTTGGGATCAGTTATGCCACCAAGCGTAATATCAAATTTGGTTTCTTGTTCTTCCAAATTGGGACTGCCATAAATTTTCGCAATACGCTCTTGAAACTGTCCTAAATTGAAAGAAAAAAACATACACATCCAAAATTGGAATCTAATGTAAGAATAATAAATAGCAAACGATATATTTGTAGAAGAAGTTTACAAAGAGAAAGTTTCCAGACTCCGACTCCTGGACACAAAAAATTACCTCTTTTCAACACCATCCTGGTGGTAGTCGCATGAGCCAAGACATTACCACCAATCGGTTTAACTTCGGCATTATTCAAAAGAGTAAGCGGCTGACTCATATCGGTGGTAATCTGATTGGTCAGAAATACTGCTATGTTGTATTCTTCGCTCATTTTTTGCAATTTCGACAGCATCAATCCCAATTTGGTCTGTCTCTCGGACATTTCGCCTGCACCGATAAAATCCACACGGAACGGAGCCATGATCGAGTCAATAATTAGCAACTTGAACATGCCGGGATCTTTGTGGAACACATTACCAGCGCTGAAAAAAATGTGTCATAGAAAAATTTAAATAATAAAATTATTACCTGGTTAAAAGTTCATATAGTTGCTCTGAATTATAGGCTCTTGCACAGAGAATATTTTCCAAAACTCCAGAACTGTCCAGTTCGAATCTGTCAGCAATTGGTTTGATTCTATCCGGACGACTAAGGGCTTTGTTAAGAAAAAAATTCAATAAACATAGTATTTAATAATAGAAAATAACAAAAAAGGATACAAAGTGCTTTCAGTATCGATAAACATCACTTTTCCACCTTGATATTCTTGTGCTTCGTTGGGCAATTGAGCAGTAACGCACAAAGTATGAGCCAATTGAGTCTTACCAGAGCGAGATTCTCCAAATACTTCCGTTATTGCCATGGATTCAATACCACCACCAAGAATAGCACTAAAAATTAGTTTAAATAAAACAAGAAATGCTCATTATAGAAAAATGTTCTTACTTGATATTTTTGCTTCCAGTAGTCAACTGGAAAATGTGCCTTCTCTGAGCGGACACTTCTAAACCAGTCATGAAGCAATTTTCAGTGGTGGCATTGGTGATAATCGCACAAGCGTGTTTGATTTTTTCGACTGTAGCCGGTGTAAAGCCTTTGAGAGTCGCCAAACTTCTGCTGGTGCACATTTGGAGACCTATAAAGAAAAAATAGACTGGAACATTCTTGGTATCTTGATTTGAGGATTAATATTCGGGACGACAAGTTCACATTTCGAACTAGGTTTGGAACTAATGCAGGATTGTCCTCTAGAGCGATATCCAATTATGAACCAATTCTGGATTTCGCCAGATAATCAACCCGGAATCGACCAAAACGATTCGGAATTGTTCCCACTTCTTCATAGTCCGAAAAAGAAAGAAAATACTGGCTTCAGACATTCCAAAACTTCTTGGAAGATTTTCATAATTGCAAAGAGAAGAAACTAACTGACGGTGAGAAGTTCAGACTCTTAGTAAACTTCATATCTCACAATGTTATTGGTTATTTTAGTGAATGCGATAAATTTGTTCAGGCTATCATAGTTCTTGAAGGAATTTTTTTTTAAGCCAATTAATGAAGTTTTTGCCAGACACATTCAGAATACTCGAAAGTAACAATCATCCGAAACTAGGTACATGCAATATCTAGAACTGCTTGCCAAAAACTGCAATTTCATAGCATTGAGTGTAGATCAAAACAGAGATGATTGGGTAAATAGACACTATCGTGTAAAAATTCAGTTTGAAGGGAAGAAACCTCCGTTTATCAATTTTCTGTTTGATGGAAGCAAAAGTTGAATCGCCTATCTTATCTTCAAATCTTACCGCAAATGTGTAGACCTATTATCACTAAATCACGCAGACACTCAGCTAAGGATGAACAATTTGTTAAGCAGGAAATCCAGAAACTTTCAGAAAAAAATATTATCCAAGAATGCAATTGTTCGTGTTGAGCTTAGACCTATTGGAATCAAGTTCTTTAACATTTTGTGAAATAGCATATTGAGCCAGTTCACATACAACAAGATTCTTCTGGTAACGCGGCAAATTAGGATTGTTTCAAAATTTAATTTGGTATGTTTGAGTATTTGCTTGAACATTTCCATATGTTCTGTGGAGATCAGAGACGCCTTTGTCCTTTATTAACAATTAGGTCGTAGATAGTATATATAAATATAACGAAAATTTTGTGTCTCTTAAATAATGGTTTGCAGTGTGCACGCCTATCAGCACTGCATATTATTCTCAAGCTTTTTTTTGTAATTTAAATAGAGTCTATTAGCGCGACTCAGTCCTAATAAACCCCTCAAAATATAATGCACTCTTAAGCTTTATCGCTAGTTCGATATGAACACCGAATGAAACACGTGTATCTACCGTTAAACCATGATGAGGCGTTGGCCGAGTAGTTTAGTTTTAGTTACACAAGTTTCATTGATGAAGTTTATATCGAACGTCTATCATTTAAAATTTAATATACGATGGTCCAAATACTCAAAACTTTTAAAATTAAAATTCAAAATAAGCAGGTGCCCACAGTCGTGCTTGTTGGTTGTTGGAATGTTCACTTTGGTGGCTTCATTATTGAAGTCCATTTCTGTCCAGCTTTAGTGGAAAAGAATATTTATATGGGTGATTCTGCTACCGAGGATGTTCCTTTGGAAATCCGGACAGCATCAATGGAAAGATTCTGGTACTCGAATGGCCCTGTATGAATAGGAATATATAGGCATCACTGGTATGCTGCAAGATGCTTTCCAACAATTCCAACACGTCAAAAATTATCCATGAACTCTTCAGAAATTACTGTAGGTATACGAATTTCGGATTCTACGCATACATTTTTGGTTTTGCGCAGAATCGTAATGCTAGTAAGTTGGAATAGACTACGTCACCGATATCAAAGTTTACAGCCGATATGTGTAAATAGACCTTTAAATATACTGGCACTAGCGCCATCTATGGAAAAATGACCGAGCTAAATTTCATATAGAAGCCAACTGGATATATTTTACAAAATACAAAAAATATAGAAACCATAAAACCAATTTAATAATAAATTAAATGAAGAGCCAAACCCAAAGCATTGGTTAACAGAGGTTTATGTATGCGGGCACCTCTAATAATGACCACTGGGATGCACATTATAGAAAAAAATCAATGCTATATTAGTTTTTAATATAAACACGTACCTTTGATGGTATTAATCCCCACTTTCTTGAGCTGCTTGATATCCTCGACAGGAATATTGTGTTCCAGCAAAGAATCCACATCGAAAAATCCATCTTCCTCATACTCCCCGACAGATTCGTTTTCCATTCCGCTGTCCGACTTGTCGCTTTTCGCTTCTTCCACTTCTATCGGTAGTGGAAGCCGCTCAGGTTTCGCTTGCATTTGAGCCATTATTAGCGTTTTAATTATCAAAACACAGTGGGAAATTTTTAAAACCTGTAGATTGTTACTGCTGAAAGCAAAATGTTAATTGCAAATGGCGTCGATTTGTTGAAGTGGGCGTGGCTTCACATTCCAAAGCCTACTAGGATAAAACGAAACGGTAGGCGTTTTCATTAGGCTAATGTTATTTTATTGTTTTTCACACTTTTTGGGAAGATCATGATTTAGTTGCTATGGAAGAATAAAAAAACAACAAAAACCACAAAGGAGCATGAAATCCCGAAAATTGGAAGTAGGTAAGTGCATGATTCAAAAGGGTGCAAGGGGATTACATAAACGAGTCGGTAGAGTTGCACTGGAACGATTCGAGTATACTGGAGCTGCTCCGGAGTAGCTCAAGTGAAACACAGGAAAAGCAACTAATAGAATATTTTCTTCTAATTTGTAATTTCATAGGCTATTTTAGGTTCCGATGCAGGTGCAGTTTCATGAAAATAATTAGGCGATTCGTCGGAGAAGCCGAAAAGCATTACCCGAACGGCCGGAGTGCGTGCGGAGTCGCTTGAACTGCATCAAGTTAGCAAGCTAAACCCGGACCGGAACGATATTGACCCGAAAACCGGAACGGAACCATTTTTTGTTTGGTGGACCAGGCAAAACGGGAACCGATATAAATTATTCGGTTCTTACCTGTATTTTTCGGTTTAAAGATTTTATAAATTAGGCTGTTTGCTGTTTGTCCGTATCGTAATAAATTAACACTCTGAACAACAGAGCGTTGGAAAGCGCGCATTTCTGAACTCGACTAAGCTACACCAAGGATATTACACACTACTCAGGATTGCTCATCTCAGTGGCGTGCCTGACGGGCCCGCAGGTCCCGCGGATATTTGGGGCCCCCAAATTAAACAAGGTATTCTTCTCACACAAAATATTTTTCCACTTATGTCAGTTCGAGTATCAGTTAAAAGAAAATCTTCAAAAAAAATCGAATATTTCGCAATTTTTACAACCATCGGATGCATTGGAAATGATAGTGACAGCGTAAAATCTTAAAACATAACTTTATATAAAATATAAAATCGTTTAATTTTTACTCCACCCCAGACTCCAACCAAACTCCAAATTGAAATTAATAAAAAATGTCCTTAAGGGGGCTTTACATGCTGCAAGAGTACCTGCAAGGACAAGTCAGTGCAAGTTGCAAGAACTCTTGCAAAAGGCATGCGCAGTTGAAACCCAGCTGATTGCAAGTTGCAAGACTTCTTGCAATTGCAACTTATCGGTTCTGTTCGATATTTCTGCAAGTGTAAGACTCTGCAAGAGTATTTTTGGGGGAAAATTTGGTAATTTTTGGCATGCCAACTTTCAATAAAAGTTACTACTTTTAAAATTATGTTTATCTTTATAGATTAATGAGAATAGGTAAGGTACCTATGCCAGAGCCGTGCTTGAATCAATTTAAAATACAGATAAATTATAAATCCAAGTAGAGATATTTATTTATTTAATTATAGGTACCTACACTGAAAATAATCTATTTTTAGGTACAGGTACCTAGGTTTCATAGGAAACAATAATGTTGTTTTGTTAGGTAGTAGCTTTGAATATAAAACTACAGGAAGGAGCGTTTTCTATCTGTCACTACAGACAACGAAGGGACGGAAACGGCCATTTTGAGCCTCCAAGTTTGGACTCATCATTTGTTTTGGTGGTTCCCTGTGTCCTCATTTAAGTGGATGTTTAATGGATTTTTTCTATTTTGGTGTCATATCGAAGTCTTTTCGACACTAAAAGTAGTTTCGAAAAGAAGCTCTTTGTGACACTCCTTTTTTACTTATCGGAGGTTGGTAACACTGGCTGACTGATGGCCATCGAACTGTCATTCGAGATAAAAAATAATAGAAGATTTCTATATTTGGCATGTAGTGTTGCCAACCTAAACATATGAAATCAGGAAATATTGGAATAAAATTTCCAAGAAAAGTTTTTTTCCAATTAAACAATACCAAAATAGAAAAAATAGTATAAAATATTCGTTTCATAAGACATTTTATCGCACTCGCCCTTTAGAAAACTCGCCTCCGGCTCGTTTTCTAATATAGGGCTCGTGCGATAAAATGACGTCTTATGAAACTTGTATTTTAATGTACTATTAGCGGTTTTAAGTGATGATAAGTACTGGAATTAGTGAGAAAAGAGTGAGACATAATATTGACAATCATATTTAAATAATGACATTCTGTTTGAATCAATTTTAATTTTCAATATACAGGTAGAGATATTTTATTTAATTATACCATTGTATGAAAAGGCCTTTTAAGCTCGATGGGCGGCACCAATAATGATGAATGATGCAAAGAATAGCAGCAATACCTTTTTTTCTATTTCTACTATTAATTTTTGAAATAGAACATGATTCATTTTTTACATACAGCAAAAGTATTAGTAATAGTATAATAGTAAACAAATACCAACTACCAACACCGACAAGAATAGGTAGGTATTGAAAAGTAAGGTTCTGTTTTCCTATATATTTTTTTTCTTTATGTTGGCAGAAGAAAGCAATTGGAAGATTTCAAAACACATGTAAAGCCAAACCGCAAGACGGCGCAAGAAATCTTACAGAAAGAATCTTGCAGGTACTTGCACTTGCACCGTCTAACTGCAAGATTTATTGCAGCATGTAAAACCCCCTTTAGGTCGACCCATGTCTCAAACTTGTCTAAGTTCTTTAGCTCTCACCTCAATAGAGCACGAACGAGCTAAAGATGTAAATATTGATGAACTGGTTGATCATTACTTATCCAGTCGTTCTACTGGGCCGAGTTCAGAAATAACGCACAGGGTACGAGTGCGATTTTATGGGTGTGCCTGAATTGACAATTGGCCATTGGGCCTATAGCACCATCTAGCATTTTTGAACAGCTAGAGCGTCGCACCGGTGTCACACTCACACTGGGTGTGTCATTCCTGAACTCGCCCCTAGTCGACACAAAAAATGCTATGTAGTCTCTACCACCAAAGTAATTAGAGAAAATGGTTTTATTACACTTTTCTCTATTATTTCTTATCAATAGTTTTAGTTTTGCTTGAACCAGAGTTTGGTTATTATTTTTTTATTTTCACAATTTTTTTTATAGTTTTTATATCTGTCTTTTTTACAAGAGTAGTACTTATTTTTTATTTCATAAGGACGGAAAAAATTTCCCGTCCTCACTTCCCGTCCTGGGACAGGTAATGGAGCAGGAAAATGAAAAGACAGAAATGTGACATTTTCAAATTTTTGAAAAGTCAGTAATGACAACATTTCATATATGGTTAAAAATAAAATCTGTTTTTTTTTTAAAGATAAAAGTCAAAATGACATTATATGTTGGCAATACAATGTAAAATTGTCAATTTTTCAAATTTTTTATGTAGAAAAGGCTTGTGATGCCAACATAGTTACTAAATTTTTGACTTGGGGAATTATCTTTAAAAAAAAAACAGACTTTAGGATCTCTGAAAATATAAAAAAACAGTGGTAACATGCACGTTGGACATATAACGGCATGTTATTTGAGGCGATATGTTGAATAAGAACATAACAGGCGGAAAACAACAGTAATTTATGAAAAACTCTACATCATACGAAATTGCATCGTTGCTGTTAAAACTCAGCCTAAAGGTACGGTTTGTTAGGATAGAACGCGACATACAACTGACAACGTAAACGTCAAACGTCGTCATTGGTTCAGGTATGACGTACACCCGTCTTCTGACGTGAGAAAACGGGTGTACGTCATACCTATGGTCATACCTGAACCAATGACGACGTTTACGTTGTCAGTTGTGCGACGCGTACTCTCCACAGAACACATATCCTCACGGATAGAAAAAAAAGCTCAATGGAGGGCGGGGCCTAAAAAAAAAGCTTCGGATCGCATCCGCTTGGGGATGCTGGACTGAAACAGAACTACAGGTGCGGAATGAACGCCACCAGAAAATATGTCACAGTTTACTTTGGCAGTTTACCTGTTACCTATGTTTAAAAAAAAATATTTCAAAATACCCCTCGTTTTTATTCTCATCGGTGACTTCACCGATGAGTTAGCTATCTTTGTTTAGTGAATGGAAAATGACAATGACGGCCATAGAATGGTGGATCCATCAGTAAAATTTGATGAGAATAAAAACGCAGGGATAGTTCTGAACACAGGTTCTGAATGAGAATTCGTCTTGGTGTTGGTGTGCATTTTAAATCCAGATAAATGTTTCCTAAATTCAAAAAAAAATCAAGAAGATGGCGCTCTTCGAGTGTATAATTGTGTATCAGTGTGGGGCTTCTTTACGGTATAAGGACATCCACTTAGTGTGTATCTTTTGAAAATAAATCAAATTGATAAGTTTGAAACCTAATTACTACGAATGATAGGTAGGAGCCAGGAGGTCAACACTTGTCGGATATACCTGAAATGCTGCTAAGAGGTTAGGTACGTTATAAAAGGTTTCCACATTTCCTTGCAATCAATCTAATGAGAAAGATTCAAAACAATACATGAATTCTAAAATAATGTGGAAAAAAAATTTTAGAACTGGGAATTGAAGACCCGCGTAGAAATCTGAATAACTTGGAGATGAAAGGTCAAAAAGTGGAAAATGAGGTGTCATTCTCGTGTTATGTAGTTTTCTAGGAACAAGGGAAAATATACATGCGGCGTCTCATTTAAAGTAAGAAAGTTAGGGTAACTTCCGGTCAAAACAGAAGTGCATGATAATAAATAATTGGATACGTCAAATAATGCACATTTGGGTCATGAATAAAAACAACAAATTTGATTCGTTTATTTTTGGAAGTACAAAAGTTTTAGAGGTGAGCGAGCCCTGGAAAACACTCGGTATACGCAAATTTTAAAATACTACACTGATAATCCCTCACGCTAGTGCAGAAAAGAACAAGGTGGGAAGGGGTACGAAGAGATCATCACGCTACCTCTTACCGGACGTACCAAAGAAAGGAGTAACATATAAGTGGTGTCCTAACCTAACTACTATTTCTACATGTACCTAACTTCCTGTTTAGTCTTCACTTCTTGCCGAAAGTACTTCGTAACACCGCATAAATATTATTATTTCGTTTGCATTGC